AATGTACTGCAAAGATGAACTTTATCTACATAAAATTTCCTATGTGAGAAAATTATTATAAATATTATTATTTCTTTTTTTTTTATATTATGGGGGCTTTTATTTCAAAAATATGCCAGCCCTATCATACCTTAATCTACATAGTTACATAAACCGGATCTTAACAAAATTATATACCATTTTGGCCTCCTCAGAAGTAGGAAAGGACAAAATGGTATTAAAATTACCTACATCGAAAATATTTAGATTCAATGATTTAATTAGGTTTTTCCTTTGTTTGTCGTACCGGACACGTTCCATTAATAAATGATAAACTTCTTCATATACTCCACATACATCACAGTTTGGTGAGGGTGATTTTTTCATAAGAAATAAAAAAATATTTAATGGCATATGTCCGGAACGCAATCTATGTGCTATTTTAAATAAAGTTCTGTACCAGATTCCTTTTTCTCTAGAGCGTTCATCGAAATATTCTTTCCACATATTATATATTTTATTTTTTTGTGATATTAAAACTTCAGAATAATTTGGAATAATATATACTTTAAAGCCCTTTGTACATCCAGCTCGAGCTAGTTGGTCAGCCTCCTCATTTCCCTCTAAACCTATATGCGATGGGACCCATTGCAACTTCAGATCCATATCTAATTGTATTGCTCTATTTATCTTATCTAGAATAGCATAAGCTACCGGAACACCTCTTAAGCCAGAGGCGCACCGAGCAAAATGCTGCAATGCACTTTTGCTGTCAGTAAAAATGACAATTCTACGATATTTTTTTGTAACTGCATAAGATATAGCTTCTGAAATAGCAAATAATACCACCGACATAATACAAATATTTGTTGATGTTATATTATATATGCTACTACTTTTACAACTTTGATCATAAAAGGCAGCTCCTACCATTGTCTCTGATTTGGCTCCATCTGTATATATTTTAATCGAATTACTATATTTATCATTTATTTCTTGTAAAACGTTAGCCTTGATTGATTTCATATAAGTTTTTTGCCTTATCAATACATTCCAAATTAGTATATATGGTTCTATATATATCTATATTTGTTAACCACGTATTCATGGTGAACATTTTCAAAGTGCTGGATGAAAACAGTTTCTCATGTTTAATTTCACTATATATACAAGGCAGCAAAGGTTTCTTTTTAGAACGCCAAAAAGGTTTTGTACTAATATAGTAATTTAGTTCATCAAATAATTTACTTGTTATATTGTTTGACCAAGTTAGTAATTTAAAACAGAATTTCACAGCCAAGTAATATCTTCTTAAGTATAAGGGTGGAATGCAAAGTTCATACTCCATTACATGAATAGGTGTAGATTTAATAAATCCTCCAATTAACCGCAAAGCTTAATTTTGAATAATTTCTAATTTACTTAGGTGTGTTTTTGCACTATTATTATAGAAAAAACAACCGTAATCAATTTTACTTCTTATTAGACATATATATAATTTTCTTAAATATTTTGGGTGAACTCCCCACGACGGTCCAGTTAACATTTTTAACATATTTAAACTTTTTGTTGCTCTTTGAGCTAACTCACTTATGTGTTTATTCCATAAAAGGGATCGATCTAGCCACATTCCTAAATATTTAATATGGTTTGTAGAAGTAATTGTGTTAATATTAACGCTGACTGTAACATTATCATTCCGTCGCTTCCTACTAAAAGTGCACAGCTTAGACTTACTAGTTGATAACTCTAATCCTATATGGTCTAGAAATGTGACAAACAAATTTAATGCTTCCTGAATACTAATTTTGCTTTCGCTTATTTGGCCATGATGTGAAAACAAAACAAAATCATAAGCATACTGACATATGAAGACATTTTTAATTAGTTGATGAATTTTATGCGTAGCAATATTAAAAAGCAGTGGAGACAGAGGGTCACCCTGGGCTAGGCCTTTGTCCTTCTAGTTTTCTCTTTATTATTAACAATATTTTTGATACTTAGTTGTCTTTCTCTTAAGAAATTCCATAAATATATACAAAATTTACTTCCCATACCCAAATTATCTATTATTTCTAAAACTTTATGTATCAAAATATTATTATATGCATTTTCAATGTCAGGGAAGCATGCCAAGGTTGGCATATTTTTCGAAAATCCAATTTGTATTTGTGTAATTAATCTGATTAAACAGTCTAAACTTGATTGAGCTCGTCTAAATCCTGTAACATTAGGTGCTAAAATATTATTTTTCTCTACAAACCATTCCATTCTCTTACTAAGCATTACGTGAAAAATTTTACATAAACATGACAAAAGTGATACAGGTCTTAGTTTATCCGTATTACCTGCCTTAAGAATTGCCACTACTTAAATTCTATGCCACTGTTCAGGGACTTTACCTGTTAGAAAAATAAGGTTGTAAATTCTAAGAGTCAGTTTACCATTAGTTGGAAGATTAAAAATCATAGAGTATGTTATTTCATCTTCTCCTGGGGCCGTATCTTTCTTTTTGATGCAAAAATTTAGTTCATGTAGACCTAGGTCAGGTTCCAAATACAAGTTATTTGAATAAAATTCTGGTGTATTTAATAGTACGGAATCAGGAGCTAAATTACAAAGAAGTTCTTCACCTTGTACATCAGTTATAAGGGATGGATAGTTCTTACTTCTCTTTATCCACTGCATTTTATGCCACATTTCAGTATCCGATTTAGTTTCATCTATATCACAAAAATTATGCCAGTCATTTGATCTAGCCTCATAAAGTTTAAGTTGCACTTCTTTTAGTTTATTCTCCAGTAGTTTTAAATTTTGTGGAATAGGATTTCGCCGTAGATTCTTCAGGGCTAATCGTCTCTGGGCTACGAGATTCGATAAAACAGGGATCCAATATCGTTTAGGTGTAAATTTTTGTGTAGGGTTTAAGCACATTCTATATTTTGGAATATATTCATCGGCGGCTTTGTTTATAAGATTTACAAATTCATCATATATATCCTGTACATCATTACTATGCTTAACATGTTTAAACAAACTTTCTAAATATGTTTTATAACCTACCCAATTAGCCAATTTATAGTTTCTTTTGTTTGTAAAGTTAAAACTAGTTTTATATTTCAGACTAAATTTAACTACTAGATGGTCGCTTCCTAAATTTTTATTAAGTATAGTCCAACTAAATTTAATTGCTATATTTGTTGAAACAAAAGTTATGTCAGGAGTAGTTTCTATTAAAACACCATTTACTAATTTCACCCTGGTGGGGCTACCATTATTTAGAGAAATAAAATCATTTTCAATTGAAGAATTTAAGAGATGATTGCCTCGTATATCATTTTTATAGGACCAATTGGTATGATGCCCATTAAAATCCCCAGCAATTAAAGATGATTTTGAAAACTCAGAAAATATACAATTCCAATCAGTTTGCGATGTCTGTACAGAGGATGGACAATACACGCAGACAATATTTTGTAAATATTTACAATTATAAAGTTTAACATGAATAATTTCGATACCATTATTACTAAAAGCTGTTGGGCATTTTTGTGATTTGATTGATCTATGTGCCAAAATAGCAACCCCACCATAAGAATCATATCTATCTTTTCTATATACATAATATTCGTTAAATTTAATTTCAAAATCAGAGTCAAGCCAAGTTTCACTTACCAAAGCTATGTGGATACTTTCTCTATTAAGTAAGTTTTCAAACTGTAATCTTTTTGGATATAAACTCTGCGCGTTCCATTGCAGTATATTTAACTTAAAGTCTCTATCCATCACTGAAATGCTTAAAAAAATCTTTCAGAAATTTTCCACCTTCAAAGAAACTACTAACAAATTTTATCAATTCATTAAATATTATCTTTACACAAACACAGATTTTTTCTTCCCAGGTCACGCTGTCTTCTAAGATTACACTTTTTAATTTTATCAAGAGCCTCTTAAATGAAAATGCGAACTCCTTTCTATCTCTGTTTTTACTATATTCGCCCGTAGATTTATAGGAGCATGTTGAAAATGTCCTCATTAGAAGTTTGCCTGCTTTTTTTCCGTGAATCATGCTCCCGAAACTTTCTAAAATCTTTGATGCAGGCTTCGAAGGCTTCTTCTGATAGATTCCCGATCGGGACGATATCATTATTTTCGATTATGTCTGCTCCATGGATCAGCACCTTATGGACGGTTGATGACATATAATACCAGCTCCACGTGCTTCTCTGCTGTCTTGCTTTTCTTATTTTATGGAGTCTTTGTCAGCAACCCCCAAAATCACCAACTTAAAATAATTTCTAGATAAAGTACATTAAATTGTCATTAGTCAATTACAAGTGTTCATATAATCTTGACTTCGTGTTAAATAATTAATTTTTGTTCATCATTAAAAGAAAACGTGACCGTGACCGTTGTGTGTAATATGTCAAAAAATCACAAATAATTAGTACTCTGACGATCTCTAAGGATATTTGGAAATTTCTTCTTAGCTCCATACAAAATTTTATATTTTTTTATAATTCATTCGTTTTTGTTCAAAACCGACTCTCGCATGCCTTATTCTAGTACGGTCATTGTTAAATAAAGAGATATCCAACAAAAAACACGACCCTTAAAATTCGAAATCTCTAAGTCTATGAAAGTCGATTTTTAGCCCACTGTGCGGCGGCGGCCCATGCCTACCCCCAACAGTGGGACGTAAAAAAGGGTTGAATATGAATCATTTTTATAGAATTTACTCCACTTGAGAAAAAAATACACATATTTTTACGGTAACATTTTGTACAGTTAATATTGTATGAAGAAGCAGGTTATTTGGGGTTTTAATAGATACATTTTACGTAACTCTTACATGGTAGCACTACAATCTACTGTACACCACTACCGGTGCCGCGCCAACTGGCAACAAGGTAATAAATAAAAAGGCATAAGGTGTAAAAAATCAATTATAAATTTATTTATTCTTAAATTAATAAGCATAACAACACTACCCATTCCCCGCGCCCTGCCGCGGCGCGCTACTGGCTCGACACGAAGTGCCACCGGTCCACTGCAACATAAACACGTCAGTCTCTACATATACTTAGATCGGAACCAAGCGACAGCGACAGGACTTCATTATTGCAACATTCATTAAAAGTAATAGTGATAACTTAAAAGTGAAAACATACACAACATAAATTCGTTTAAAACTAGTTTAGTATTGAATATAAATTGTGTATCACGAGACACATCATATATAACCCGTTATATCCGTCTCTTGCATAATATAGTATGCGAAAATGTCAAAATATGGAAATAGTTAATGCCCGCAGATATTGTAGGAAGTGAACTAAGCCAAATAAGATATTATAAGATACTAGCAGAACCCACGGCTTCGCTCGCGCTAAAACTACAAAAAAAAACACTCTAAAGTGGTAGGTTTCATACAAACTTTCATTCGCTATTTTACCCCCATAAGGGATGAATTTCGGAAAATGCTAAAACACATTTAATTAATTGTATTGAAGAGCATTTATACCAAGTTTCAAGTAATTCTGATCAAAAATATTTTTTTTGATTGTATTATAATTTATAACGTGTTTTCCCGTGAGAAAGAGATAAATGTCAAATAGGTGACCATATGTTATGCATCGATTTGTTATTGAAGTTTGAGTAGTTAATAACAGAAAAAAAATACATTCCAAAAATGCCTTATGTGTGTATTCTGATATAAGAGATACCATAAAATAATGAGACGCGTTAAAGTTAAATTTTCATAATGCGCCGGCGCTCGCGGTTACTTAATTATTAGAGGTGAAACTGAAATTTATTTAGCACTCCTGTTATATTCAAATTATGGAAAATCAAATTATGGTCGTTCGGCTTTTTGTACAGTATAGTGAAGCATGTCATCTGTGGTAATAGTTCCGTAGTCAACAAGGAACCCTAATAGTTTCACCGTGTCTGTCTGTCCGTCCGTCTGTCGGTAGCTTAGCTCAGAGAATCTTATTGTTAGTATGAGAAAGGTGTAACTTGGCATGGATGTACATATTAGTCATGTCGATAAATTGGTAAAATAAAATCTTGAAAAAAATTTTTTTTTAGGGTACCTTCTCTACACGTAAAGTGGAGATGTTTTTTCAACGTGAGTTCACTTTAAATATATTTAACTCGTTCTTTTCATTTTACCATTGTGTCATCAGCGTGGACACGACCACGACACGACATGATGTCATGAGGGGATTATGTCGTTTGAATTGCATTACTTAATATCCATCACCGCATTCTTTAATATCCATTAGGTAATATCTAATTATCATCGTGACAGTAATTTTTAAAGTATTAGTCTCGTTAACAATATTGAAGAATCGTTTTAAATATAATGTAATACTTCATACTATTATTAAAGGTACATCGTCTCATATCATATCATATATATCGTCTCATATACCGTGCTAGGACCGTGTCAGGCAAAAATATATTCATTGTATTGAAAAGTGTCAGACTGTGCCCACGAGACCGCCGCCACCGCGCGGCGCGTGTGCGTACTGGACATGTGTCAACTCGAGTCGAGTTGGGCTTAACCCGAATTAACTCGAGTTGAATTCTCTCCGAGTCGAATTTGGATTGGCGCGGTAAATGAACGAATCAAGCGAATACGCGATTGACGCGCTCTCATTTTTACGCAAGCGTTTGCAAGCAAGATGCCAGTGTTTAACTTAAATAGCTGTCGTCAGAACTCCCCCCCCAGCGTATCAACCGAATGGCAGCGCTATAATATCCATACTAATCCATGCTAATATTATAAATGTGAAAGTGTGTTTGTTTGTTTGTCTTTCTTTCACGTCGAAACGGCTTGGCGGATTGGCGTGATTTTTTGTGTGGAGGTAATTAGATGGCTGGAGACTGACATAGGCTATTTTTTACCGCGGAAGATTATCTCATTCCCACGGGAAAACATGTCATAATACAACCCAAAAAATATTTATGATCAGAATTACTTGAAATTCGGTATTACCACTAGTCAATACAATTAAATAAATTCATGTTTTATCATTCTTCGAAATTTATCCCATAATGGGGTAAAATAGAGGATGAAAGTTAGTATGAAACCTACCTTTTTAGTCTTTTTTTTTGTAGTTTTAACGCGATCGAAGTCGCGGGTTCTGCTAGTACTAATAATATAAATAAATATAAAAAAATTTAAATAATTATAACTGTCCCGATAAATATTTATTACGAATCTGTACCATTTTTTATATTGTTGCGAAGCAGAGTCATTAAATTGGTACAAACAAAACAAATCATTCACTTTTCATCCAGTTATAAGTATCCCAATGGTTTATGAGCGCTGACCTAGAATGCGCAGAAGTCAATTTTTGGACCCATTTGGCGGGACGCCCCCCCCCTCCTTCTCCCCCCGCGCGCACCCTTTTAGTACAGTCGCGCGCGCAACTACCTTTTTTTTTTTTTTTTTTTTTTTTTTTTTTTTTTTTTTTTTTTTTTTTTTTTTTTTTTATACCACGTCGGTGGCAATCAGGCATGCGGCCCGCCTGATGGTAAGCGGTTACCGCAGCCTATGGACGCCTGCAACACCTTGGGCATCACATGCGCGTTGCCGACCCTTTAAAAACCTATTTACTCCCCTTTTGAAGGACCCCATACTGTAGCCCTCTGGGAAAACCTCGGCAGGGAGTTCATTCCACAGCGAGATGGTCCGTGGGAGAAAGTTCCTCTGAAACCGAACTGTACGGGACCATTTGGGCTGCAATGTGTGAGCATGAACTCCCTGTCGATGGCGAGCGGTGCGGTGATAGAAAGTGGCCGTGGGCATCATTTCGAACAATTCTTCGGAACACAACCCATTGTACAAACGATAGAGCACACATAGGGACGCAAAATCTCTTCTTAGACTTAGGGGCTCTATATCGCTTGTGAGTATTGGATCGTCGACAATTCTCACAGCTCTCCTCTGAACCGAGTCAAAAGGCCCAAGCTGGTATGCCGGTGCTCCCGCCCAGAGATGCGAGCAGTACTCCATATGGGGACGGACTTGCGATTTATATAAAAGCAGTCTTTGTCCCGGCGTGAAGTACCGCTTCGCTCTATTAAGCACACCTAGCTTTTTGGATGCCAGCTTGACCTTGTCTTCCAGGTGACTTCGGAACTGGACGTCGCTGGATATGTCGACACCAAGAATACCAATACTGTTGGAGATGGTTAGGGGTGTGTCCTGGAATTGAGGGGCCACAGTAAATGGGGTTTTCTTAGCGGTGAACGCACAAACTTGTGTCTTGGAGGGGTTAAATTGGACTAAATTGTCCCGACCCCAATCGGAGACTCTGGAAAGAATACTCTCGATTTGAGACACAAGTTGTTCGCGACTTTCTACCACAGCGGAGCGAGGGATGTTTGCACGGCCTGTGTAGAAAGCGTCTCCAGTGCTGTCGTCCGCATAGCAATGAATGCCATCAATAGACAGCAAGTCATTGATATGCAGAAGGAAAAGCGTTGGAGACAGCACAGAACCTTGCGGGACGCCAGCGTTTATATCTAGTTTTTCCGAGCAGCAGCCATCAACGACGACTCTAATGGATCGACCAGATAAAAAGCTGGCAACCCATTTGCACAAGCCCTCGGGTAGTCCGTAAGATGGCAACTTCGAGAGAAGACCCCGGTGCCAGACCCGATCGAACGCCTTTGCTATATCTAGGCTAACTGCCAACGCCTCACCTTGACTCTCGATGGCTGAAGCCCACCGGTGTGTCAGATACACTAGAAGGTCACCAGTCGAGCGACCGTGGCGAAAGCCGTATTGCCGGTCGCTGATCAAATCGTGTTCCTCTAGGTATCTGAGGAGCTTGGTATTAATAACACGCTCCATAACCTTGGAGAGAAGAGAGGTAATAGCGATAGGCCTGTAATTCGATGGGTCTGATCTATCACCCTTTTTGGGCACCGGGTGCACATGGGCGGTCTTCCACGAAGACGGTACTTGCCTAGATTGGTAGGAAAGTGCGAAAAGTCGCGTTAGTACAGGGCACAACTCAGGAGCACACTGTTTGAGTACCACTGCTGGTATGCCGTCGGGCCCACTCGACTTATGAACATCAAGACTTAGCAGCTCCCGCCGGACTTCTCTTTGTGAGAAATTTATTTCCGGCATGGAGTGTCCACACCGTGGGATGGTTGGCGGTGCGGCGCTTTCATTGACCTTCAAAGTCGAGTTTGTGGCAAAGAGTGTACCTAGTAGATCGGCTTTCTCTTTGGCGCTATGGGCCAGGTTGCCGTCGGCATTTTGCAGTGGTGGTAAGGACGACAGACAAAAGTTCCCCTCGGCAGCTTTGGCGAGCGACCAGAAGGCTCGACTCCCGGAAGGGTAACTAGCCAGCTTTTCGCCAATTCTCCCGATGAACTCGAATAAAGCTCTGACAATTGTTTTTTTACTGGACCTCGAGACGGCATTTAGTTTGCGTTTCACATCAGAAAGATTTGGATCGCTATTACTCCGAGCCGTGATCCAATCCCTGAACGCGGCTTGCTTAATGTATCTCGCTTTCTTACAAGGCCGATTAAACCACGGTCGTTTCTTTTTCCCGGCAGCAACTAGCGAGTTTGGAATGAAACATTCCATACCCGCCAATATTGTCTCGGAGACAGCAGCTGCGCAGATGTCGGGATCTTCTGATGTGAAGCACAATTGCCTCCACGGGTACGATGCGAAGTACTCTCGCAATCCATCCCAATCTGCTGACTTATACTGCCACATGCGCCGCAAGCTAGTTGGCCGAGGTGGATCTGGGCGCGCGCATGGTGCAAGAGTCCGGATAAGGCAGTGGTCGGACGAGCCAAGTGGTGCATCTACTGAGATGGTATATCCATCCGGACGTTGAGTCAGCAAAAGGTCCAGTATTGAGCTCGTATGGTCCTCAATATCTGGTATTCTTGTTGGAGAATGCACCAGTTGTGAGTAACCATAGGCCAGAGCAAATTCGTGAGCACACCTCCCCGCGTAGTCAGTGGACCGAGAACTGAGCCATTCAGTGTGGTGGGCGTTAAAGTCTCCTAAAATCACCAACTCCGTAGAGGGGTATTGCTCAAGAACTTTGTCCGTCGTCAATTGCAGGTGCTCGAAGAGTCTTTTTGTTTCCCTGTCACCGCTATGAGACCTGTATAGGCACGCATAAATACGGGTGTGGCCACCGTAGTCCACGCGCACCCACAATATCGAGAGGTCCCTGTCCTCTAAATGAAGGAGACGGCGATAGCAGATATCCTCCCGAACGAACATGCATACACCGGCACGTCTTAGAAACTTATGTTCTAGTTTGTAGCCGGGATAGTGCAAATATGATGTGTCGGCCGGGCAAGATATTTGCGTCTCCGTGAGGAATAGTAAGGTCGGCTGCGCAGTCTCCAGATGGTGATGGACTGCGCTGAGGTTTGCATGGAGCCCCCTGATGTTGCAGAAGTCCACTTGTGTGGAGATGGGAGCCGCTGTGTAACACTTACTCTTTTTCCTTTTGTTCTTCATTTTCTTGGTGGGGGTGTTTTATAGGTTGTTGTGAGGATTTGTTGTGTTGATAGGTAAAGGGGCAAATTTGCAATGCAGACCAGCCACAGGCTAGCATAGGTAGTACGGGTTGTCAGCGCAGCGTACGAGAGGGCCCCCAGTCCCCCCCCACTGCAACAGCCGGGTCCACCCCGGTCTCCTCCTCCGGCACGACTGCTACAGCAGGGATTTTACGCGGGTTGGCAGTTCAGCCTCCCAGGGCGGAGATTAGGTAATCCCTGGGTTCGGGAACTCTACTGACCCGCGGGCGGCCAGCGACGAACCGTTTCACTGGGTCTCACTGACCGCTGTGCCCACACACCGCGCCTACACCGGCCGATGACTGTGCCGTTTGCATCACCGGCCCCTCTCTATCAACACAATAAATCCTCTGGAGCTCTGGATACCTTACTCACCGCAGGAACACAACACCGTCATAGAGCAGTGTTATTTGGCTGCGATTTTCTGTAAGGCGGAGGTACTTGCCAGTCGGGCTGCACCAATTCGAGTAGGGTATATACCCCACTGTGCCCTACCTCCTAAGAAAGCAAACTTTACTTACTAACCTTAGCAAACGTTTTCATTACGTAATTATATATTTTTTTTTTAATAAGATGCCAGAAACCAAGGTCTTCTCGACTCGACAGGCAAGAAAAATGGTGTACAGCGTTGATAAATTCATTAAAACTGAGTTACATGAATTTATGTGATTTAAAAGATTTTTTTTTATTATATATTTTTAACTAAATTTAATTAACGTTGAAGATGTTCCAGTTCCACAAAAAAATTGAATCAAAGCATAGACTTTAGCAGTGTTTACCTTTTAATTTATGCAATTAAAAATGAATTAAATAAGAAAATAATAGTTTAGATAATACCTATTCGAAAATTATTAGTAAAAATGAACCAAATTTAAATCACATGCATGTTTGCTATTTTGTATCTAGGGAATTATGTGCGCGAGAGTATACCTGCGCAAAAATCCCCACTCCTTTCACTGAGCGCTCATAAAACAATGCGCGACTTATAACTCGAGTTACGTAACTTCAACTTGAACTTCAATTAGAGTTACGTGAATTTCAACTCGAGTCAAACCGAGCAATATTTATTCCGAGTTGGCATAACATGACTACATACCTGCGGCGGGCAGCGGGCGCGGCGGCGCGGCGGCCGGCGCGGCGGCCAGCGCGCGCGCCGCCTCCGCGCGCTCCACGCGCGCCGCCGACCCCGACACCGACACGTTCATGCTGCGGGCACACGGTTACGTCTCCTTTATAGCTGTCGACACCGTCATCTCACATGGATGTCATAAAAAAATTACACACGTATACCAGTAACAGTAATATAAAATTAGCAACCTGTAAAGAGCGAAGGTTAAGTACGGCCCATACTTGATAAAACTCATTTTATCGAATATATACGGTTACCGCTGATACCGATTTTATCGAAGTGAGATAAACCATATTAAACGTTTTTATTTTTCAAAAAAAACTTAATTTGAAAATACCGCCTTTACAAAGCGAAGTTTTAATCGAATATTTTGAAAAACTATCACATTGTATTACGTCTGACAAATACTGATTCCTATACAGAAAAGAGTTTACTCACTTGCAGATGCCCTTCGCGTCCGCCGCGCCCGACACCAGCGCCTTCCAGAACTCGTGCACCTCGTCGACGACGTTGAGCGCGAAGGCGGCGTCCTTGGCCTCGCCGTCGAAAGCGAACTCGTTGCGCGGCTTGCCGTCGGGCACCTTGTAGAGGCGGAACCACTCGACGGAAGCGCGCAGCAGGCCGGGGCAGGCCGCATCCAGGTCGCGCACGTCGCGCAGGCGCGCCGCCAGCGGGTCGCGCTCGTCCACAGCCAGCAGCTTCCAGTCCGTCTCGCCCTCGTCCAGCAGCGCCAGCGCGCCCAGCACGCGCACGCGCAGCACGTCGCCGCGCCGCGCCACGCGCGACCCCACCTCCAGCACGTCGATGGGGTCGTTGTCGCCGCGCGCGCGCGTGTGCGGGTCCACGTGGCGCGGGTCCTCCCACGTCTGCGGCAGCGCGCCGTAGTTCCAGATGTAGCCGTGGTGCGGGAACACGTTGCTCACGTAGCGCAGCTCACCCTTCTTCACGTCCTGCTTGATGGGGTTGAGCGGCTCGCTCAGGCTGATCTCCATCTTGGCGTTGGTCCAGCGCGGCACCTCCACCACCATGTGCGCGATGCGCGCCTCGCGGTCCGCCCACAGCGGGATGTCGTGCAGCGGCGAGATCGGCCCACTCTCGTCCTCTGCGCACACGACATGGAGCAACGATTATATATATATAGCCAATGCAAAGCAAATCTAATATACTTCGATACATAAAATATATATTTAGCTATTAGATATTCATATCTTAAAATATTGTCCACTGGCACCGACCTCGAAAATATCTGATTAGGTATCTATTCTAAATGAAAACCCCCGTTTAGTTATTTTTTACATTTTAGTGCTGGGAAGTCGGAAAAAAAAAAGTTTAATGATCTTATTTTACCGACCAATCTCCTTTGTGTCTTCTCCATTCTATGTGACATTAGCGAAGTAATCTATGCTCAACTGGCACTCTTTGAAGTTAATAATAAGAAAATTGATTGGAATAAAATTATTTCTTGAATTGTCTTGTTCATGTGATTTGTTGTTTTGTTTGCTATTTTTTGGAGATGTGATTAATAAACACCAATATAATATTTACATAACTCCCAATTCCTCTAATATAATGGCATCCTATAAATTACATGATATATATTTAGGTAACTTGACTTTTTCTTTTTAATTGAATTAGGTGAAACAAACCAACATATAAAATCTGTTTGGAGTGTTTTACCACAATATCTTTGAAAGGGCTTTCATTTACTTTACAGTATTAATCAGACAGTATTTGTCTTTTGACACTTTTCGGGTTCGGGTTTGGAATTTATAAATATTTTGCTTTAGGATATAGAAGCCATATTATTTCAGTCACCAGATTACTAATGATGAATGTGATGTGGATGGATAAAGTGAAAACATCAAATCAGCACAATTCTCCCAGTCACTAATAAACAGTGGCATAGCATTTTAGTATTTTAAAAATATGATATAATACAACAAATGGACAAAATGACAACAATGATCTATTTCTCTATATAATAAAAATAGTTATTTAGTTTATATGGTTCCCACCAATACAATTAGGTATGTTTTTTTGTATATATATTACTAATTTTGATATGTATAAACCAGTTATAAAAGAAGCAATAAAAATGAAATTAATCTTTGAGGAACATTATATTATGTCATTTTATACTCCACTACAGTAACGAATTGAAAGTCTATCAAGGCTAAAAGTGACAGAGAATATTGTAATTTTCTTTGACAATTGATTTAAAACAAGCTTTTAAATTAAAACAGAAAAAAATGTTGATATAATATCACATAATAGTACCTAGGTTTACTCGCTAAGTCTCAAATATTGTACAGTTACATATTGATTAAACAAGCAAATTTAAGTTTAAATGAAACATATATATAAAAAAAATACTTAAAGAATAATAAAGACATATCTTTTTATTGATAAATATATAATGATAAGTCAGATTATCAAATAAAGTACTTATTTTATTTATCACTATCTCACATCAGGCATTATGTAAAAATAAATAATATTATTTGAACGACATAAAAGTGATATATGTACATGAGATTTTATTTTTAATAAAAGTTAATCAAATAAAATCCTATTAGCTTATCTATGCACTTAAGTGCATGACAACAGTTTCCTGAAGTATTATTATATCTACTTTGAAATACACTTAGAAAAAATTACTTATATAAACAATAATAATTAATTTATTGAGTAATTGACGGAAATGTTCGATACATTAAAGAATCGTTAATTACCTATGAAATAACATTAATCGATAACCACGACGTCTGAGATTGAAGGTCGACCGAACTATCTTTTCCCAAGTATTTGATTTGTCCACGAACCAAAGTATACGTAAAACTACACGAAAATTTAACCTGTATAGTTTGTGTTTAAATAGTATAATATATGTTATGCGTACTTACTGAAATAGACCCGGTAATCGGGTGAATAGGGCGATCCTCTTTCCTCGGTGATATACATTTCGTCACTATAATGTCTCGTATGGGCAGTGTTGACTGCAGCACGAGCGGCGAGAACGACTGCGCGAGACGGGTTCCGCACCTGACTCACAAGTGACAGGGCGCGAGGAAATACAACAACGACGCGTGCTAGTGACATTCTCTGAATTTGACGCTTACGTAAGCATAAAATATAAAACGAAGCAAATAGTGTTGCAAGTAAAATAATAACATAATATATTTTATAATGTTAAGTTATTTTGTAACTATATACATCGACTGCCTCGGTGGTGTAGTGGCTAGCATGTACGGCTGCACACCCGGAGGTCCTGGGTTCGAGTCCCGGGTCGGGCCAAGTTTAGTTATTGAGTCTTCCTGTATAGTAAGTCTCAGTAACAGCCCGGAGTTGGGAAGTTGGCGTGTTTCACCCCCGTGCCTCGGAGAGCACGTAAAGCCGTCGGTCCTACGCCTTAACTCTCACCGGTCGTGTCGAGTGGTCGTCCCACCGGAGTATGAGGCTAGGTTCAGATGACAAGCGCTCAACGCGCGTTGAACGCGCGTTGAATTTTTGTATAGTGTTCACATGGTGCGCGCTTGTCAGGCGTTAAACGCGCGTTGTCGCGGCCAGTTTGAGTTCTACATTTGTCGAAGATGGACGTAGAAACAGTTTTATCGGTGATTCTTTTCTTCATTGTCATGTCCTTCACAAAATATAAGGACGAGTTCTTCCCAAGCCCGTCTTCTCAAATTCTTATCTGAATAATCGCTACTTGTCATGTCCCATATCGCAGGACGTTTCTCTATTTCATCAATTAATAATTCCGTATTAAAATCTTCGGTTTCCATTTCGGACGATTTCCGGACGAACTTGACGAACCCTAAAATACGTCTATCCGCGTCGAAAGCGCGCGCTCAACTGAACGGAAACATAGAAAACCAATGATCTCAAAGCGCACGTTAACGCGCGTTGACGCGCGCTGACTACAGTCGAGCGCTGGCGCAGCGTTGAACGCGCGCGTTACTAAAACGCGCGTTAGCATGTGTACGGTCTGAATAAAATGTATGTAGTTGTAAACGCGCGTTGAGCGCTTGTCATCTGAACCTAGCCTGAGAGTGATAGGAATAGAGAGTGCACTTGTGTCTGCGCGTACACTTGAGCACTATAATATCTCCTGCGCAGTTGGCTAATCTCATTGAGATTGGCCGCCGTAGCCGGAATCGGCTAGGAGAACATCATCAACTATGAACTACATACCCAATATTATTCAATTCAATGAAGCTAAAGAAAATACAAAGTTTACTCGATTGTAAGCTATAATAAAAAATTGACTATGCTTAATGTCAATAAAATAATAATAATACTTACCTACCTACGTTAATAATTGCCTAATTATCTAACAACAATTTTGTGTCACTCACAATTAAATATATAAACTTAATGTAAAATAATGAAAAAGAAATCTGTTAGGTAGATTAATTAACTATATTGTATTTTCCATCTATACTTTAAATACTAAATGTTATTTACTATCTAAGTAAATTATACATTGTGTTGTCATTTTATTAATCATACAAAATAGATCTAAGATTGATTTAAAAATCAAAGATAAACAAACTTGATTTTTAAACATCATGTGTCATTCTCCCCACCCCCTTTTGTATGTATTTTGTACACTCGGAATTAGGAAACAAATGCATTGGAATTAGGATTTTTACATCGGAATAAGGTGCCTCGGACTTCTTCATATTTTTACATAATTTAAGATGTTATATAGTTTTTCAATTGTCAAACTGAGTATATTTCAAGTGTAAGATTATACTTCCGATAAAATAGCCAATTCTACAGAAAGGTACAGCAAATACTTATTTTTTAAAGTTGTTTTAAGTTATGGTGAAAATACCCTGGAATTAGATGCCTTTACCTTAATGCCTTTGAGACGTCTAAAACCTTAGTCTCTCCCGTGAGTATGATTGCTGTGAAGCATTCGAAACGTCGGGAACCAAAAATCTAAATAAATCCTACGTTTCCTTAAAATCGGTAATCGGAACAGAGATGTAACAAAAAGTGAACTAAAAATGAAGTAATATAAATTACTTAACAAAAACAAAATAATTTAAATTAATATAAGTTTAAAAATAATAATATCTTTAAAAAATGTTTCAGCGGAAAAAGCAAAAAAGACATACAAAAACTATAAAGCCATCGATATTCATCGAAGATTCTATTTCTTATTAATGTTTTTTTTCGATTTTCTCATTAAATCTATGCATATACCTAATAAAATTGTAACTAAGCCGAATCTGTACCGTAATCGACTAATACCGAATCTGTAACTTTAAGTCTCAATAACTTTTTACTCCTACGTTTCCTTAAAATAATAAATAAAATAATGAATATTTAGGCTCCCTGTCACCTCCCCTATCCAAAAAAACCACCCACTCCGCCAGGGGCCGCGTCCCATATACTAAGTTTGTGCCCAAAATAATTACCATTATTATCTATACATTGCTGTCATCTAATAGGAAGGTCATTTATGCCTTTCCGATATAACTCTGGTGATCCTTATTCGACAAACTGTGTGAAAGCATTTTGTACTGCTTCCTGAGAAGAAAACTTTTTATCACGTAGAAAATTGTCCAAATCACGAAAAAAATGGTAGTCCGTTGAAGTAGTCTGCCGAATACGGAGGGTGACGAATGGTTTCTATTTGCAGTTGATGTAGAGTTAAAACGGTTTCTCGTGCCGTATGAGGTCTCGCGTTGTCATGGAGCAATAATGGTGAAGATCGATTCATGAGTCGGGGCTGTTTCACTGCTAATTTTGCTATCATTGTTTGGAGTTCGGCACAGTAGGCATCTGCCGTTATTGCTTGACCAGATCGGAGAAAGGTATATATATGAATAACACCATGCTGAGACCACCAAACAGTTACCTACCATAAACTTTTTAATGGTAAGCTTTGCTTTAGGACACTGTTGCGGCGTTTGACCTGGGGTCAGCCATTGCATTTTTCGCTTACGGTTATCGTACAGAATCCACTTTTCGCCACATGTCACATTCGATCCAATATTCCTTCATTTCTGTATCGTTTCAACAAGGCAACACAAGTTTCAACACGCGTTTATTTCTGCAGATCAGTTAAATCATGAGGCACGCATTTTTATTTTTTTTTTATTTTATTGATTTGACGCAAATGAATCATGCGTCAAATCAATATTGTTGGTAAGGTAACGTTAAACCATGCCGCTAATTCCTGGGTAGTTTGGCTCAGATCGGCTTCCACCATCTCTTTCAATTAATTGTTATTCACCTATGTGGGCGATCTTCCACGTGGTTCGTTCTTCAAATCAAAGTTTCCATCACGAAAGCGTTTAAACCAAAATCGCACGGTGCGTTCATAATTAGCAGTCCCCTCTCCAAACGCAACATTGATATTGCGAGCTGTTTCTGCCGCGTTAGTTCCGCGTCGGAACTCGTATTCAAAATTCACTCGAATTTTCGAAGTATCCGTCTTTCTTGCCTAAGCTGAATTAAAAAAAACTGAAAGTCGATAATCGAATATTGCACATTTTTTAAAAGAAGAACTACATAAGTACCATGTGAAAAAAGTTTCACTCAAAAATCTCAAACCATGAAGATTCTATGTCAATTCGAAGTACTTATTCGGTGTCGGTGCCAACTGCCAAGCCAAATGTAACAGTAGGTAAGTACCTACATACGCCGCGATCTGAGAAATATATACTAATACCTACATTAAAGAGGTAAAGTTTGTGACTTGTGGTAATCTCTGGGTCTACTAAACCGATTTAGATAAAATTTGGTAAGAAGATAGTTTGAGACCCTGGGAACGACATAGGCACCGACTTCGAAAATATCTGATTAGGTATCTATTTTAAATGAAAACGCCCGTTTAGTTATTTTTTACATTTTAGTGCCTGGAAGTCGGTTTTTATTTAGTTTTTTTAAGTTTCAATTTATATTGACAATATATTAAGCACAACACTAAGATATGCTTCCTTATTGAAATATTTCTAAAATAAACAAATGGACCTTGGAGCAACCCCGTGGTTTTGTGGTCTGCTTCGGCAGACCTGCCGTCGGGGCGTCGTAGTTGAATGCGTAAGCGATCCTGCGACGCCCCATTCAGACGGGGGACGGCTTTGTTGGGTTTTAGTGGGTAGTACTGGCTTTGCCGGTGAGTTCCACACCTCGTGCGTAAATGCATTTCCCAACGTAAAAAAAAAAGTTATTAAATAATTCGCAATAATACTGTATAGAAAACATTACAAGAATTTATCACGTACCTACTATTCGTTTTACAGTCTTTCTCTAAGGGCGCGTACACATAGAACGTCCGTTTTACAGGTCCGTTTAAACGTATATGTTATTAGCGTATGTAGCTGTATGAGCCAGTTCACACACATGACAGTATTCCGGATCCAGTAAAAAATCCCATACACAACAGAAATACTGACCCGTTTTATCGGATCGAAACCGCGCGAGGCTTGGCACAGGGGTACGGGGGTTTTCCTCCAGTTTGTGTCTTTCTTTTTTAAATCCTTTTCTAATCTTTTAAGAAGGTCATCAAAAGTAGATGTCGTTATTCGGAAATAAGTAAAAATGCTGTGTGAATATTAACCTCTAGTAGCGACGGATCCGTTAAAATCGGTCCTGTAAATGCTGTGTGAATATTACCTCCAGTAGCGACGGATCAGTTAAAAAGGATCCTACTATGTGTATGTGTGCCCTTAGGGCGCGTACACATAGAACGTCCGATTTACAGGATCCTTTTTAACTGATCCGTCGCTACTGGAGGTAATATTCACACAGCATTTACAGGACCGATTTTAACGGATCCGTCGCTACTAGAGGTTAATATTCACACAGCATTTTTACTTATTTCCGAATAACGACATCTACTTTTGATGACCTTCTTAAAAGATTAGAAAAGGATTTAAAAAAGAAAGACACAAACTGGAGGAAAACCCCCGTACCCCTGTGCCAAGCCTCGCGCGGTTTCGATCCGATAAAACGGGTCAGTATTTCTGTTGTGTATGGGATTTTTTACTGGATCCGGAATACTGTCATGTGTGTGAACTGGCTCATACAGCTACATACGCTAATAACATATACGTTTAAACGGACCTGTAAAACGGACGTTCTATGTGTACGCGCCCTAAGTAATGTTTATCGTTGGTTATATATACATATACTGATCTCGTAGGTTCGAAATCGTGAGTATATCATTAGGTGTAGAACATTTTAACATTGGTTAGGTTCTATCTAGACAATATTCCATAGACTTTTGACAGTTAAGTTTTGACTTTTGACGTTTCTTATGTACGTCAATAGATGTCGCTGGTAAGATTCCATGCGCTGTTTTGTTGTTGAAATAAAAGACAATTATTTATATCGTTTATTATTAGAAAAAAAACCAATTGCATATTTCCCAGAACTAAAATTAACATTCTTTTCCTTTTAAATATTGCTCTTAATATAATAATAATAACAAAAAAAATAATAGTATTATTGCGTGTTAATGTGAATATTTGAAATATTATTCTTTGTTGTTGCTGCTGGTGGCGAACTGGCTAGTGCATGGCAGTGCGAGATACACGCGGGTACACCTGAAATACAAAAAGGAAGAAATTGAAAAATATAAAGAAATGTATTAATATTATTACAATTTACAGATTTATTAATGTTTACAATATGTTATTGAATATCAATAGCACTTTTTGTCTAAGTTAAAAAGAAAAAAATATAACTATAAATTCTACATAATTAAATATTTTTTAAATTATATAATTTTATATTTCAGCAATGTGATATAGAGATTCTTTCTGATAGCCGAAATGATTTTAAAAAGAAACTTATTAAATAAGTTAGTTATTAATTAAATACTTAGATTAGATTTTTCCTTTTTTTGTTTGTTGTACAACTGAGTCTCTATATACTCGTAACCACATAAAATTTAAATGAAATACTTCTATAAAAAGCTGTGTATACTTTTAAATTAAATGTATATTAATATATCGAAATATTGTTATGCTAAATTTAGTTTAGTAAGCCTTTATAATAAATATAATAATTCACGCTCAGAATATGGTGATGTATTAATTATAGGATTATTTATAAATTCGATAATTTCTTAAATATCGATTTGTTATACAGTATACAGAAAATAGTACTAGCACTTGTACAATGTATACTCTATAGTACAATTTAATTTAACTACAGTACTATGAGAGTTCGTCAGTCAACAATATTAACATTTTTATTTATTTCAGTAAAATATATAACGACTTCAAATAACGAATATTAAATCATTTTTATAAGAGAATTGTACATAATGAAAACTAAATCTTTTTATTACATTACGCTAATATCGCTAAAATTGTGTCTGGGTCAAAATGTATGTATAATGTATTTTTTGAAGAGTGAATTAAAGAAAAATTTGAAAAACCACTAACCTAGTTCTTAATAATATTTTAAGTACTAATTTCACCAAAATCTTTTTTTGTATTAATATCTTCACATTCATTATAATATGAGATAGATATAGCTTGAGATTGCTCCATCAATGCTTGAGACTGCTCTGTGATTGCTTGATACAGTAAAGTGTCTGAAAATATTTAATGAGAACATGTAAAAGATTATAATATTATATATTTTTTTATTGAGAATATCTAATGACATTATTAAGAAATAATAAATAAATAAATAAGAACTTAACAATTGTTACAAGCTTCAATCAAGAAGTAGTTTATGGTCGAGATAGTAGAGGTGTTGCTACATATTGCCACCACCTTTACTTTTAATATTAATTAATTCATTTTATTTGAATAATATTTAGTTAACAAGTATTATAACTTTCTTTTATTTTTTTTATTTTAAATTTTTTATATTTGTAAATTATGTTATGATCTACATCAAATTTAATTAACATTTATGGAAAAAATTTAGATGATTTGTTCCTAATAGTTCTTGGGATAATAGATGACGCCTTTAGTTGGCGCCACTAATATTAATTTAATAATTTATTGTTTTGTAATTAATAATAGCAATGAGTGAGTACCACTTTGTTAGTAAATTCGTATATTAGTTAATTATTTATAATACAAGTACTTTTATCTGAAATAGATCAGAATAGAAAATATTAATTGTTTACAATATACTTAAAAATTGTCTAAATTGTCTAAAAATTGGTCTCTTTTCCCGCTGCTTCAGTACTTGATAGTTTATGTGCTTATACTTAAAAAGTTACAAAAAACAATACTAACAAGAATAAACAAATTATTTTTTGCTATTTTTCCTTTATGCTATAAGACCTCGCTTTTTGCCAAATTTCGTGATTCTAGGTCAACGGGAACTACCATATAGGTTGTTGACCCAAAACCTATAGGGTACCTAGGGTTACCGGTTGACCTAGAATTGTCAATTTTGGTTAAAAGCAAGATCTTACAGCACAAATAAAGGGGAAATTCCGAAAAATAAAAAGATTTCGAAGTCAAGGTAAATATTGGTACTTACAAGTTTTCGCGAAAATCTAAATTTGACCATATCTTTTTACCGTGTTGACTCAGGACCTTGATACACCTAATAGGGACTATAGACCTCAGTATCTGGTATACTTGCTAGGTCTACCCGTTCCTGAGAAAATCGGTGGTGACACACGGACGGACAGACTGATATACCAACAGATAGACAGACATACAGACAAATGGACAAGAGAGTGAACTTATAAGGGTTCCTTTTTTACATTTTGAGGTATGGAACCCATAAAAAAAGGATTTAATAATTATTAAATTGTTTTAGTTTGGCTCTCCCAACTTTTTCACAATGTATTTTTTTAAGTAAGACAAAATTCTATTATTCTTTTTAAGATAAAAGAAAATAAAACTGATTTAATAATAATCTGATTAATTACCTGTATGTAATATGTTGCAATTGTGGCAAATGGCTGTTACATACATTTTACATACATTTCTTCTCAACCTGAAATAAGCAAACATGTTATTATTTATTGTGTCTTATGATAAAAACAATTAACTGTACATTTTTAATTGGTAATCATTTTGTCTAAATCAATTTAAAAAAAATGCTGCATTAATAATTTAAAAGAATATATTATATTAAATTAATAATATACTTTTATGAACAATGGTTATTTAATAATTTTAACTTTATATAATGAATATTGAAATGTGGATGTGAATATCAAAAATGTATTATATTACATGGATTTTATATTTACATCAGATTTAAGATTTATTATTATTTGTAGATCCTGAAAATACTTATATCTTATAATATGTATTTGTTGGACTGCAACCCCATAATACTTATTTTGTACGGGAGAGGGTCCTCCCGTAGGAACGCCCTCCGGCACTCTGGGTCAGAAGTATCGACCTTCTGCCTATATTAATGATGGTACATGGTAAGAAAAGATTGGTACTTACAAGCAGAATCCTCTAGGTCCCCGACTTGATGAGAGTGCCCATCAAAGCTCACTCTGGGCTGCCGCCGATTGCGTGCGAGTGGTGTGCACACCCTTCCACTCTACGACCTGGGTTTTGCATGTGTCGTCCACGACGATTGTTGCGTTAATGAGTGAGGGCCGCGGCAGCCGCGCCGGCGCCCGATGCTCTTGGCGCGCGCGACGCGCTGGGCTAGGCAGTCGTTTGTTGCTACGTGCGTTTCAAAAAGAGGAAAAGAGAGGCTAGCGGCCTGCCGTATGCTCGTCTTATAGAGCTCCGCTCTGACCCGACCAGATTCCATCGACACAACCCGCCCAGTAATTGAAAGAATAGTGAACATATTTAAAGCTGAATATTTTAACATATCCTTCTTGTAAGGACACATCTGAAATTAGAAAAAATATTTTATTTAAAAATATTATTTAGTATAATGTAAATAGGTCTGTCTGCTAAAAATAGCTTAAAAATAATTTAGTATTATAACCACACAAATCAAAATGTAAAATTACTTATTACTCTATTTTAGGAATAAAATACTTAATATATGGAATAGCATGGATGATTAGTTTAAGATAATAGTATTATTTGTGTGATCAAATTATACAGTCACTTGTCTTAAGTAATTTATCAATGACAGTTTGTTCGTAGAGCTAAAAAGAACTCTTCATTTGAATCTACCTTAAAAAGGAGTTAACACGTTCGCTGCATTACGAGATCTATCAGATCTCTTGCAGGACTTTTGTACTGTGCGTTGACTATAATCGTGTTGTTTCACTCCTTGCGGGAGGCTCTAACGTGTAAAGTTCTTTAAGTATGAGTAAGACAAATATACATATTTGCTTCCTACTTAAAGGTGAGTTCGAGGACATAAAAAAAATAAATAGAGATGGATTAGGTCCCTAACGCACAGTAGTATAATTATTTTTATTCCTTGCGTTAGGAGACATGTCGATACTCGTGGAATCGTACGCCTCGTAGACGCAAGAAAGGGAGGTTGGGGGGCGCGGGCGCTGTGTGAATCGATTTAGTGTTGTCCTAGTGTCGACGTGGGAGGTTGCGCGTACGTTTCGAAAAAGTGTAAAAAAATTTTTATTTAATATATTTTATTTAATTATTTAATAAAATTGTTTTATTTTGGTGAGATTTCTAAGAATGAAAAATCAACGCTGGATTATAGTGCTGCATCGTCCAGTATAATTACAATTTTGGAAAATATAATGCTTTTTATTACAGAATTCCCCGAAGGAAGATGTACAGATCATGTTTTCCAACATGGCGACAAAAAAAGATGTTGTGTGGGTTGTTATGAAAAATTACGACGCACATTAAACAGCAATGACGCTTCTAAAAAACGCTGAAAAAATACCATTTGCGCGCAATGCAAATAATCAATGTGCTTACTATGTTTTAATGAAAAACACTTTGCATAGTTTATAAATAAACTTCTTTAATAAAACTTTTTCAATCGACAACTGAGATATTATTTTATTCCCATCACTACTTACTACACATATTGAACTATCTTCGGTTGTGGTACGAGATACAATCGATATCTAATTTTTTTTTGGTATTTGTAGCTTATTCTAATGTCATAACTGCGTGCGAACCTAGCAAAATGTAGAGCAATAGGCTCTCTTGACCTACAAAAACTTTAAAATATATGTCATTAGTTTTTTGGAAGATATAAATTATTTTCAAAACTGTATTTTTAGGAGACTGATTAGGTCTCTAACGCACCAAAGGGTAGGCTAGTTTCGAGATCTTTTAGATCTCCAAAGCACCAGCTGAAAGTTCTTTCAAAATGATGACGCAGTGAACGTGTTAAAAGATGTTACAAAGAGAATATAGAAATCAATCAGGTATCAAATCAAAAAATAATAGATGCTGGGAGTTGTGT